TATACTCCATTTGGTGCAAGGGTCAGATTACTTCGAAAATTCGTTAGATCTGCAGCACGACAATTCTCGACGGGAATATCTAAACCGGAGCTTTGTTGTAAACTATTCCTGATTTATTCAATTTCATTGTCTAGTTGAAAAATTAGAGCTTTATTGAAGTTTCTCATTAAAGAAATCTAAGTGCAGTATTCTAAAAGAAAAATCTAGCTTTTGCACAGATCTTTTGTGAGGTGACTCTGCAGTATGCTTGTAACGTGAACAACTAGTCGTTCGTCGGCGCCTCTTTGGAATGCTAGTCACGGCTAGCCGCTTCTTTCACACCAGTGCACTTGAACAATAGTTGTTTATTGCCCATTTAACATAAAAGATACGACCTTATTTACATATATCTTTTTATATTAATTTCTTCGAGTTACAACAGCTAGAAATTCCACGAGTCAGACTCCTGAAAACATATACAGGGTTAAAAATATGGTCTTTTTATAATAATAATAATACGCTACAATTTATTGCTACATCCCAGTTTAAGACTCTCGTCGATCTATGCATACATTACCTCAAATCATAGATTTAACCATATGAAAGAACGGTGATAGAAACACTCGCAAAATCAGTCCTATTTGAAAATTATAAGAAAACTCAACTAATTTTTATTCCTTTTCTCCATCATTTCAAAAGTCATCGGTGCCATTCTTTGTACATAGATGGCTTTTACAATGCTTTTAAAAGCTGCAAAGATGTGGAGATTTGAAATGCTTGGGCACCACCTATCAATAAAATCACAATGGTATTTGTATGCCAGACAAATACTATTTCAAGGTGCGAATCACTTCGATCTCTTGGAGATTTGAAAGTTTTCGTCGAAACATTCGAAATCTTCGCGTCATTGCAATTTTTGAAGGCATAATGAAAGCTATCGATGCACAAAAAAATGGCTCCGATGTCTTTTCGAAAAATAGAGAGAACGGGCGCAAGTTGGCGGGGCTTTCTTACAATTATTAAGTAGGACCGAGTTCAGTAGCATGTTCACTCCTATTCTTTGCATTTAATTCATAAATAGCCAAAAAACGCTCCGTGGGGATGACAAAAAAAGTCTCTTAATTCATAGCTATTTTCATAAAATTGGAGAAACTTGCACTATTCACTATCATTTCCTTCTTTTTCATACGTTTGGACACAATCTAAAGCCGACACATACTGCATTAGCTGACAATATAGTTCAGAAAATACTATTTCTAAACTATCAAGGACACATATGAATAGAAAAACTCATTTTATTTCATTCAATTTTACTTCCGATACAAGGAATGTAAATTCTTCGAGTAATAATTCCCGTCTGATGCACTATTCAGCTATTGCGCCCACACAAAAAGCTTTTTTCATACTTGAAAATATTTCTCAGTTTTTTACCACTTCCGATTTCTATTGAAACTCATCAGATCTAGACTGTTGACGTTTGTTCGATGAATCCTAATAGCTTGACGCCTTCCTCGAGGGAATTCTTCAGTGCAGCGACTAGCCACTCGCGGTTAGCCGCTGCCATGTATAATTCTATTCTTCCATGAGATGATCCTCTTTGACTTACACCCTATTAAATTCAAGGCTGCTCTTACTTCAAAAAATTGTTAGATTTATAAGATGAGAATTCTTGATGATCAGCTTCGAACCGGCACTTTGTTATTAACTATTCTTTACTTCTTAAACCTAATTGTCTGGCTGAAAGTTTACAGTTTTATTAGAGTTCTTGATTCAGAAAATCTTAGTGTATTATTTTCAATAAACCTGGCTTTCACGTAGATCTTTCTTGAAGCGAAATTACAATGCGTTTGCAACAATAGCGACCAGTCCTTCCTCGGCGCCTCTGTGAGGCGCCACTCATGGTTACTTCCTCAATTATTTGAATACATTAAAACAATAGTTGGTTTCTCTGCCTTTATCATAAAGATTGTCACCTCATTTACAAATATCTTTTTATATTAGCTTTTTCACGTAGGTGAAGTTAGCCTCATATTCGAGTACATCCAGCCAAGATTCGGCGCCAAAGCTGCCCCAGCTGCACCAGACAGCACCAATATACAACTCGACGAGCTCTATCCATTAGTAACTTTGGATTTTCCCTAGCTTGAACTATTCGTGTGAAAATCCCAAAATACTAATTTTTTCCTATGCAAATTTTAGCATATGGATAGTAAATCCAGCCAAAATTCGGCGCCAAAGCTGCCTCAGCTGCTCCAGACAGCGTCAGAATACAGCTCTCCGAGTTCTACTTCGAACACGAATAGAACACCTGAAACATCTTCCTCGGCGAATCGATAGTACTTTTACTTTATTGGGCTCCTAGTTTCTGTAGCGAAATACAAGTAATTTCCAATTTTTACAACTACAGTTTAGGCTATGGAAAATCTGACTACAGCATTGAACAGAGTTCATCTAGTTGTACTTGGAACACAGATAGAAGATCTGGAATATATTCCTCAAGGAATCCCCGATAGTTTTACTACATAAATTGTCATATTTAACCGATGTTTTCGCATTTTAGAAAACATACTTAGAGCTATGGAAAATGTACTTATTCCAATCGATAGAGCTCATCGAGTTCTAATTCGGAACTCTCTCGAGCAGCTGGTGCAGCTTCCTACAAGAATATCGGCTGATTTTAGTAACCATTTGATAGGAGTCATATGCTAATAAATTAGTATTTTCGAATTTTTTCACAAATGGTTTCAGCTATGGAGAATCCAACGTTACCAATCGATAGAACTCATCGAGTTCTATTGTGGAACTGTCTGGAGCAGCTTCCTGGAAGAATGTCAGCTGGGTTTATTAACCTTGTGGTAAGATTAGTATAGGAAAAAATTAGTATTTTAGAATTTTTTCACGAATCGTTCAGGCTAACAAAAATCGAAAGTTACCAATCGATAGAGCTCGTCGAGTTGTATACTGGTGCTGTCTGGCGCAGCTGAGGCAACTTTTGCGCCGAATCTTGGATGGATTTACTATGCATATGGTAAGATTTGGATTGAAAAAAAGTAGTATTTTGGGATTTTCACATGAATAGTTCAAGCTAGGAAAAATCCAAAGTTATCAATGGATAGAGCTCGCCGAGTTGTATACTGGCGCTGTCTGGCGCAGCTGGACAGCTTTGGCACCGAATCTTGGCTGGATTTACTCGAATATGAGGCTAACTTCACCTACGTAGCTTTGTCGCGGTATGCAGACTATATAGAAATTACACGGATGAGAATTCCTGAAAAAATATGCCAATAATTGAACACTTAGCCAGAATTAAATATAATGAGGGTAGATTTAAATAACGTTAATGTCGGATCGACTAAAACTAGGCTTTGAGTTTCAGAATTACTTGTGACATGGATTCGCATGTTGGTGGAACCCTGAAAGCGTTTTTTGCATGAATGCGATTCTATCCATTGTATATTTCTCTGGCACATATCTACTTCGAGAACCGTATCTAGATAAGACAATCTACAATAAACCTGATCTGATGCAACTCATCAACTAAGGTACAACGTACGCCATCGAAAAAAGTCACTGATGACACATTAGTATCATAGAAAATGTGTGAATTACACATCAATCCTTCCTCACGACATCAGCCAGTAAGGAAAGAAATAGTAACTCATTAAATTACTACTACTCAAGAAAAGCTTGACAGACCCATAGCCAAACACCGAAAACATTTAATTGGATGAACTGGCGACTTGAAGAGTACTTGAAATTTGGAGAAACCGATTTCAAATTCGGATTTCCGGTCCCGATTTACTTTCATCAGCCTTTATAAAATATGCTTATTTACTCAAAAAACCCTTTCCTTGACCCAGAAAATGACGAAAGTCATTTCTGATTGGTCGTCTTCCTAGCCGACGTGAAGGTTGCATGTAAATTCACACCTTATGTTCGGAATCTTGGTCCTCAGCTACCTATAGTATTTTTTAATTAAAAGTGGCAAAACACTTAAAATAACGAAGGTCATTTCTGATTGGTCGATTTCCTAGCCAATGGGAAGGTCGAATATAGAATCCGACCTCAGATTCAGAATCCTGACCCCCGATTACCTATAGTAAAGTTTCATCGAAAAGCGCAAAAACCTTAAAATAAAAAAGCTCATTTCTGATTTGGTCGATTTTCTAGCCAATGGGAAGGCCGGATATAAAATCCGACCTCAGACTGAGATTTCCCAACCTCAATAGTCTTTGGTGAGACTTAAGAAAGTACGATTAAATAAAGTACCATTCTGCTGTTTTTTTGACGTTGATGTTTTTTTGACTCTGCCACAAGATAACAAGCTTATTTTATTTCATATGACTCTCCCTTCAGTCGAGGAAATAAATCCACGAATATTTCGGATTATATTCGATCGACATGTTTAAAAATCTCTCTATAGTTCGCAATTAAGCTACTTTAACGAAGATTTGAGATGAAAATTGAGCCTTTGAGCTAGAAATTAGAAAAAAAACCTACTTTTTTTGTCACTGTGATCATTAAGTTGTCTCTAGCTTAATTATATAATTTACTTCTAAGAGCAAAAAAAAACTTGACTTAAATTAAAAAGGCAAAGTTGTGTTTGTAAACGAAAGTTTACAACAACATTAAAGGATACGGTAATAAACGTTGTAATATTTTATGTTCATTGTAGCTCACATTTGATTTTTAATAGGGCTACGAAAATCTATTTTATTTATGACTATCGTGTTTTAATTAACATTTCTTATCAATTACACTTGACGGGCATATATTCGTATTTTATCTTTCTGTACATACCATCTGAGGAGAAATGTCGTGTTTCATCTATACACCTAGCAATAGAGAAATAATATTATCGTACATTGCTTCACTATACATACCTTTTTATTAAATAAGCAAAAAAAAAAGAAAAGAAACGCATGAGTGGCCACACAATCTTCATTAGTATCTTTTTATGCAGGCATCCGTGCATCATTTTATTCGTTTTTTCTGATAGTCATGTTCAAAAAAAATATGAAATGAGTGATCGACAACCTCTGCTAAATACATGCAGTAAATTGTCTATTGGAGATGATGATTATGATGATGATAATAGGAATAAGAAACAACTTTTGACCAATAGGTATAACTTGATAAAACACTAATATAGAGAAAAAAATCAATTAATTTATCATATTTCATAGTTTTTCTGATTGGCGCCGACGCTTCAGTAGAACAGAGAACGCTAATAAATATATAAAATTAGATGATGATACTGAACACAATGACAAAGATGAAGCAGTTGATGTTTTCCGTTTAGTAAGTGTTTTTAGACGAAATACAAACTGATTGATCTATTCGATTTTATTGTAGTTTCAGTTTGCAGATCGTATCGATTTTGTTTTGATGTTCAGTGCTATGTGTTTAATAGTGTCAGAGACGGTTTGCCTTCTTGCTTATCGAGCTGTCTTCGGCTGGCTCACAGGAATATTTGCTATAAAATCTTTTGGTGACAATTGTGATTATCAAAATAAAAATTCAACAGCTCCAATTAAGAACAACAATGCATATACTCAAGCAATCGAGCTCAATGAATTCAACAATACTGCATGGCTTAAGTAGTTCACTAAAAACTACTATTGATTACTATATATTTCTTTTATTTTTCCTTGGTATTTTTTTTACTTTAGATTGTGTCATAATAGTGATGTAAATTTATCATTAACCTTAGCTACATCAATGCCTTTATTTCAAGAAAAAGTTATGACCATAGTTCACTGGTTATTTAGTATGTGAAATGAACGTAATAATTTGATTATAAAAAATAATGAAAATTTTCTTTTCTTCTCTTTCAATGTAGTCATCGGTACTGTCCATTTTCTGTCTTGTTCGATTGAATATTTTATTTGGAACATTAGTGTGAAACGACAGATATTTCGTATGAATGTTTTCCTCTTTCGATCACTTGTTCAACGCGTAAGTTAAATACACTTCCATTTACAAAAAAGTTCTCCAGAGCTTAATCCCAGTATTTTCTTAGCGTTCTATAAAATTATAACATCTTATGCTCATTCTCTTTCAGAAATTCACACCATTAAAAACATTATCAATTCTAACTAACCCACGAAATAGACTAAAGTATTTCGCTAAAGTTATATGTCTAGAGATGCCTAGGTTTCTAGGAATTTCAGATATAAAACTAAGGATTTAGAACAATAGTACAAATTTATTTTCAAGCCCTTTGTGACCCACATATCCCACACTTTCTTAGAAGTTGATAGAAATATAATCATTTTCAAGTTTTATGGAGTAGCAATTGCGATCATTTATTGTTTTTCGGGGAATATTCAACTTCAGTAGATGATGGCTTTACAGTTATCACGACAATTATCTTCATTATTGATACACTTCTAGAAATAGTAAAACTAATTAGAAACTATTTCTGGAAAACTTAAGTTCAGATAGAGTAATTCAAAACCGATATGAAAGAAATACTGACGAACTTATGCAGTTATTTCAATCTTATAATTTATTCCCAAGATTACTTTGTATGAAAACGACTTCGCTTTGCCCAATGATGCGCCATTTCAACTTGCAGTAAGCCCTTTTATCTATGGCAGTTGAAGTGGAATTGAGTCTATACACTAGAGAAAATCAACAAATATCACCTTCCGATTTCAATGATTTTTCGCACATAAATACTAGATAGTATTCGAGTGAAAATCAATAAAGGATTTCTTTTTCTATCGATAATTGGCAAAACTAATGAATTTTTAATAAGTCTACCTACTAGAGATCTCTATGAACCTCTGATTATCGAAAAAATCGTGTTTTTGAATTTTATCTTGAAATTATCTCCAATTATAGATCTCATATATAGTACCTTGTATGAAGAGTTTCAGAGTTCGTAGACTTTGTATCTTCGAGATTTGGAATTTTCAAAATATTTTTATATTTTGCAGTACACTTCGAAAAGCTTCAATTTTTGAAAAGTTGATATCTCTGATATATGAACTCGACGAACTGTGAAACTCTTCATATAACTCACTGCATATGAGACCTTCAAATGGAGGCACTCTCAAAACCAAATTCAAAAGCACGGTTTTTCAAAAACTCTGGGATTCTACAGGAGTCTCCGGCAAATTGTTGACATATTAAAAATTCCATAGCTCTGCCAATTCTCAATAAGAACTGAAATCCTTTGAGAGTTTCCACTAGAGTACTATCTAGTATCTATAGGCAAAAATCAGTGAAACTGGTACATGGCATAAGGGCAGATTTCCTTGTTGGATCACAGTTAAAACGATACTTGATGTTTGATGAGTGCAGTCAGGGTGAAGTTACCGTCGGCTTAAGCGCCCCCCCCCCCTCCCCTATAAATGATTTCCCACTTAGGAGTCACTGCACGAGAGCCACGCCGGAGGCTGCTCAGTCATAGTCTCAGATTTGGATGAAGGTTATCTCATTTTGTAGAGCAAATTTTTTTAGGTATGTAGCCAAATTTTTAGACTTAAAGAATAAATTTTGACTGAGATACGCCGATCCTTCTAAAAGCACCAAAAATAGCTTTTTATCGATATAAGCGATTTTTTGTCAATTTTTCATTGAAGAAGTTTTTACGATATCTCCTCAATAGTACGTGATAGAGACCTGAAATTTTTACCAGAGGTAGATTTTGAGATGGGGAACATAACCATATAAACCAATTATGATTATCTTTTAGAAAAGTATTTGTTAAGATTTCCACTATAGTCCTCCTCCACTGGTATATGAGGCCCAAAAGTAGCTTATATTCAGAATAGGCTTTCTTCAGATCAGCTCAATAGAATTTGCTCAAAATTTTTTCTCAAAGACTACTATCTTAGTACTACTTAACCACGCAATCAAAAGTTTGGGACATTGAAGTTTGACCTAGCAAGCGTCATTACAAAATAGTGCTATTTTTGTATGTTGTATCGAGTAGAAGAGACATTTCATGATTTGAGCACAATTAGAAAACAAAGGTTGTTTGACGTGAAACTTTCAGCATTTATAGAAGATAATGTAAGTACTTACCCCTGCAAGTTTCAGCTTGATCGGTCAAACTTTTATCCTGTTTTGATATTCCACTCGATAGGCACCTATATGACCTATAGATCTACATCGGTAGTGAAATAACGATAGATCTGATTTATATGAATTTTAATATGATATTACGCTCGATTTATATACCATTCGATAGAAAATTTAATATTGAACAAAATTGTCTAATTGTCTATGAGTTAAAATATAAAATCGACTGTAAAAGATGGGATATATTCTCTACTAGACATTCTGCATAAAAGTCATTATATCGAACTTACGATTATTATGTTTAATCAAAAACTTTTTATTTCGATGAAAAGTATTTCACTTCGTAGAGTAAATCATTTAAGATATATAACCAAATTTTCAGATCATATCGATGAATTTTAGTCGAAGTATGATGATCTTAATAACACTATCCCAAATAAGCTCTTATCAATGTGAGATAATAATTTTTGTTAATTTTTCATCTAAAATGTTTCCACGATGTCTTTTAATCAATATGAAATAGAATTCTGAATTTTTCATCACATCTATATTTTGAAATGAAGAATATCATTATCTCATTCAATAATTCAGTGTAATTGATTGATTGAATATTAATAAAGGAGATCATTTTCAACAAAAGATGTTATAGAATTCTACTATATTGATCATTTGAAAGATGAAATAGTTATGCGTTTCCTAGTCAATATATTAGAGCAAAGATACGTTGTATACTGGCGACCTCTAACGTATTCCATAGCCTCTGTGTATATAATTGTGTGGAACATGAAAACGTCGAAAATCTGAAATATTCGCAAATTTTAAAATAAGATTTATGGCACAACTGATATAGGCTGTTCTCAACAATACTGATGTGGTTTGATAATGTGAGAAAGATATGAGTAAAAGAGAATAACAGTCTTATATTCGGGCAAGTTAATAGAAATGTAACGCATAATCAGTAGTACAGCCTTTTTGTTATTTTACATATATAAATAAGAAACACATATCGGGATTTTGCAATTGATACTGATCTTCTTATCGTGAATAGTTTGAGAAGGATTTTTAACTTTTGTCACATGAGAGGTGGAATAGCCTGCCTGACATGTACAGCGGCAAAGCCAACAGTTGAACTACCATATCCGGACTCATCTATGTTTAATTTTCATGAAAATGTAATCGAACCATTTTATTGGAAATTTTTAAAAAGTAAGATTATAGAATTTGTTTATGAAATACGTAGCGTTGTTGAAACTGTATATTGCAATTATTTTAATAAAAGAAAACTGACTTTTAAAGAGAAAAGAAACGCAGAAGTTTTTAGGATTATGTTTTCTTGTTTTATTCATGTTCTCGGGCATTTGGTCCCCTTCTTTATGTTAAAGAGTGTTGAATAAATTGTTGAATTTAAAAGAATACATTACAAACATATCAATGTATCGCTATAAGTTGTACACAAACACACAGTATCCAACACCTCGTGAAACTATACATATTTCTTCAATTGAAAAACTGTTCTCATACTCTGAAATTATGGGCAACGGATTTGTACTCATTAATAACTGATGTGTTTCTATATTTTAGTAATGAAAGCATGGTTTTTTTTCCAGAGAGTATAGAAGTAATGTTAAAATGTTTGAAACACCGCAAATAATTACACTGTCTTTGAAAACGTGCATGCTTTTGGAATTTGTGGCATGAAATTATAAAACCAATCTGATTTTCAAATGAACTGCTAATATTGTATAGATATAATAATGTTACACATTTACTAATACTTTTAAGAATAACAAGTCAAACAGTAACATGTAAATCCTTTTTGAACAAACATTTGAAGTCTTTATTGAAAGAAAGAGTTTTCACTATTTCATTGGAGCTAAGTGTTGTTCTCGGAGTAATTTCATTTTTTAAAAGAACTTTTCAAAAGCTCCTTTGATGGTGCATATGGTACATGATGAAATACTCGATCATTCTTATTACATATTCCTTCACTAAGAAAGACTTACCATTTATATTTATTCATAAAATCTTTAATGATGATTCACATTTTTTGTGAATGAATTTTAGATGGATTATCAAGTGAACGACGAAGAGTCTTCAATAAACAACCACAAGATGATTGATAATGGTACAGATTGTTGTCTTTGGAATATACTTGGCAAATGCACTGTCAACTATCAACCAAGTGAATATTTCTTTTCGATCTCTGAGTACACAATGATATTGTATTATTTAGAATATTCTAAATGGCCTCAATCATCTGTGTTACTTGCTGATTTAACTGATGATATGACTGAATATTTACGTCATTTAAATGTTATTTCATATCACCATGATGTTATTGTTCCTATTTCCGAACGTGATTTAATTTTGAATCGTCTTTATCGGTATGCAGTTGTGGACAATGTAGATTTCAAAATTTGTCCTCTTCATCGATATACAATGGGCGTCGGTTGGCGTATTCATGATCGTTGCCAATTTACTGATCACAATGTTGGTTTTAAACAGTCTCGTTTGGTTAAGCGTCGAAGAAGTGCAAGTACATCTTCGACTCCTTTACGAGTTGCACCATTACATTTAGCTGAAAAAATTGTTGGTTTCCCTTATGGAGGTAAAATATGCAACAAGCATCGGAAACAAGTTGAAAAAGAAGATGCTATGTCAGTTGATGACTTTAATGTAAATTATACGAATGAAGATGATAATGATGTTGACATGGAAACTAATTCAACTGTACAATCATTTGTTATGTTTGATGAATCTAATGAACAGCAGACACAACGGATTTTAGCTGAACTTGATCAATCTCCAATTAAAAGTCGATGTAGAGCACCACTAGTTAAACAAACACCAGGAGCAGTGCGCCGCATGACCGGCAAGCTACGAAAAGTCGTTGCTGCTGCTACTACTATACTTGCTAATTCAATATCACCAGGTCAAGCCAATACTTTAATCCATGTAAATATCTTTTGTTAAATACTTTCAACATTTTCGTTTTATTAAAATTTTAGCTTGCTGGTCTTGATAATGTGCTGGGTAAACGTGCGTCATCGACTCAAAATACTGCAGCAGTTATCGATAAAAATTTTCTGGCCTATTTGGTTGAAATGTATAAAGCTTATGAAGAAAAAAATTTACCATATGATGAAAAGATTCGTATACTTGCTCTTATTCCAGAAAGCTGGAACTTGTCATATGAAGATATCATGGATCATTTTCAATGTACAGAACATGCCATCAAAGCAGCTCGAGCTTTAAAGAGAGCAAGTAGTACACCATTACATGTCGACCAAAAACCGTGAGTTTAACTTTCATTTTTAGTATTATTAATTGCTATGAAAGATTTTCTATAGATCCATCATTCGACGACGTTATGATTCAGCTCAAATCGATCATTTTCTTACCTGGTTGATTGAAACCAAATTACTTGTATCTGTTCACTGGGGTAATACCCATTTGAAGTTAGAGAATGGAAATACATTGACTATTCCACGGCAAGTACTTCAAGCAAAGCGAAGTCATGCGATTCATCAATACAAATCTCATTGTTCTGTAGTTGATTTTAAACCTCTTGGTGATCGAAAATTGTTGTACATCCTCGAAGGTATTAATACACGATCGCAAAAGTAGGTTCTAAATGATGCATTTTATTCACAATTGACACTATAAACATTTTAGAGCTATATCTGGTATGGATGATTTTGCTAAGGCAGCAGCTGATGGATGGGAAGCACTTACAAATCTGTTACCAAACTTGCGCATTGAAAAAGAAGAAAAACAAAATTTATTGAATTGTATTGAAAATTCCTCCTTGTACTTAAAATCATCCTATTCAACACATTGTAATAACAACAGCGAATGCGCTACCCACTGCACAGTCTTTGCTCTTAGTCAAGCAACAAATCCAGAATTTTTTGAAATGTGCAAACATAAACATGATACATATTGTAAAGGTAAGAATACATTTATTCTAATTAATGAGTTCTTCTATAAATAGACTGACAAGAATAAAGAATTTTAGTAGACAGTTCATTAATCCATTTACTCAATATCAACAGATACAGTAAGATCTTCAAAATGAATAATAAATGTAAGGTTTTGTCCGCACCAATAAGCTCGAAACAAAAGCATTTCCTTAGTGGTATTGGCATGCCAAATCGGAAAGCTGCAAGAAACAGCTTTTCATAATTCATAATATGAGAACTTAATATACAGTGGTTATCAAGGCAGGTAATTGTTATCGAGTTATCTTCTGCTTTACAACATTGTGTTAAGATTTAAAGGAATTTTTCTCGCCATCATGACTTCAGCAGGTACCAAAAAAGAGAAATGCACATTTCGTGATATGAAGCATTCTTTAGTAAGACGTAGATTGACAATGTTTTATAATTGTCGCTTGGACAAGATTTTTTAGAGAACATGATGTTGCTTTAATAAAAACACTTTATTTTTGCTCTAGAATGTCTTGCCGTTTTTCAACTTTTCGATGATCTTGAACAACTAATTGAAAAAGAACAAGATGAAGAAAAACGTGAAGAGTTTAAATATGATTTTGGTTTAGCTCGGGAGAGCATATTTGAGATGTTTCGACATCGTATTCGTACTGTTCAACAAGATTCAGTCAAATCACGTGTGCTTGCATCAATGTCTAATACAACTGCTTTTGAAACAATTGATTGGGCACAAAAGATATTGCCACAAGGCTTTCGTGAAGGTCAAACAGCATATTTCGGGAAGAAGGGAATGAGCGCTTTGGTGGGGTCTTTCACGTTCTATGATGCATCATGTGAGTATTATCCTTCTTGAATATTTTATACAATGATTTTTTTATATATAATAGCAACACTTACTACTCGTACATATATACTATGTCTCACACAATGCGATCAAACAGAACAAGCCACATTAAGCGGCGGTTATTTAATTTTAAAACAATTTTGTTCGGAATATCCACACATTACTTCAATCATAAAACGATCCGATAACGCGAGTATTCTTGCTGGTCAAGCAACGCCAGAAGGTGAATGGTTTTTATCAAAATTAGCTAATGTGACATTGCTTATGCGTGATTACTCCGAAGTCCAATCAGGCAGGGCTATTTGTGACAGAATTATTGGAGCCGCAAAAATGCGAATGAAAGCATGTTTACATGCTGGACATGATGTGACAAATGCTAGTCAGATAAAACGTGGTATATAGTTTTTGTTTAATAATACTTGTAGCGACGTTTTGTGTATTCATAGCCATGGAATATTGTGGTGGAGTGAAGAATGTAATAGTAGCAACTGCTGAAATACTTGAAAACATTCCACCAATCAGTAAAACTCGTATTGCCGATATTAGCACCATTCGAAACATCGTCTATCAAGGGAAGCACATGATTCTGCGTAAAGCATCTGAAATTGGACCCGGACGTGCTGTTTCTTTGTCGTTGCTTGATGTACCGGTGAATATGCAAATAATTGAATCATTTGAAGTGTAAGTCAGTTTATTTGATAAAATTGATCTCATTACTTTGAGAATTCTCATGTGTGTCATTTTTAAAATACACTGCTTTTCCATAGAGCTCAATCAAACACGATCACCAGTACATATACACAGAACAAACCACGAAATGATCGACAATATATGTCATTTTTCTTCTGTCCTAACGATGCATGTGTCGAAAGTTTTCAATCAGAAGAAGATCTTATTACTCATGAATCAATTGATCAACATACAACTAAAGATAGTCGTCTTAACATCAACGATACGGCAAAAATTTTACTTTTTGACAAGCAAGTTATTTTTATGTAACGTGAACTTCAACTCCAACTTTTTTCTTATTAATTTTAGGATGCGAAGTGATACTATTCCAATATCTACTGCTACTAATACAACTACAACATCCAGTTCGTTCATCCATTTGCCAAAACGTTTTTCACTTTTCAATCAAACTGGTTGGGCCTTGAGAGTTCATAAACCGTCACAACGAATTGATAAAAGCGTGAAAGACTACATACAAAAAGTTTATGATGACGAAAAAATTAATGGACGAAAGGTTCCTGCTGAAGAATATGTGCGTTCTATTCGAGCAGCTCGCAATCCAGATGGAACAAAAATGTTTTCTCCTTCACAGTATTTAACAGCTTCACAAGTAGAGAAAAAAATCTGTTTGATCTTTAATTTAATACTATGCACATTTTGTCTAGGTTCGAACACAAATTCGCCAGTTGGTAAAAGTTAAAGATTCTAGTAATCGTTTTAATGCAATGTCAATTGATTCAAATGTTGATTCGCAATTAAATGGTGTCAGCACATTACCGGTCTATTCTGTAATCATTTTACCGGATTTTATGACGACTGATACTCATATGATTATCTTGATTTTTAGTCTTCTTCAACAAGTTCTTCACATTTGGCGTATGCTACACAAGGAACACCGATAGTTCATTTTGATTTAGATGGTAATAATTTTAGTTTTCTTCGCCATCTTAGGCTATCATCACTTCGATTTAGATCTATCTGATAGTGATCTTGATGATGACGATTGTGATGCAATACACAATGCAAAACAGCTACAGAATTTCCAAAAAAGTTTGAATTAATAACTTTTTAGATTTCATATTCCATTTAGAATATTTGCTCATTGAGCTTCTTTTCGTTATTTAATCTATTGTTGTATTTATATGCACAAAAAGATATTTCAGCCATAATCCTCTCTTGACATTGGTCCTATTTCGAAGTTTTTCTCACTACATTTAATTATATGAACGAATAAAATTTTTTGTTATTGAAACTCTAGAAAAAAATTCACACACCTTGCATAAAAAGAAAACTGTTCTTCTGTGACTATACGTATTGAAATTAATTATCGATTCTACATCACTCGGTGAATGCGTAAATAGGTCTAAATTATCAGTCCTCTGCATAAAAGTCATTATATCGAACTTACGATTATTATGTTTAATCAAAAACTTTTTATTTCGATGAAAAGTATTTCACTTCGTAGAGTAAATCATTTAAGATATATAACCAAATTTTCAGATCATATCGATGAATTTTAGTCNCCATATGGATAGTAAATCCAGCCAAGATTCGGCGCTAAAGCTGCGCCAGCTGTGCCAGACAGTGCCAGAATAGAACTAGACGAGCTCTATCGATTGGTAACTTTGGATTTTGCATAGATCCAACGATTCATGAAAAAATCCCAAAATACTAATTTTTTCCTATGCAAATCTTACCATATGGATAGTAAATCCAGCCAAGATTCGGCGCCAGAGCTGCCCCAGCTGCACCAGACAGCACCAGAATACAACTCGACGAGCTCTATCGATTGGTAACTTTCGATTTTCCATAGCTTGAACGATTCCTGAAAAAATTCCTTCTTATTACAAAAAAAATGAGAATTGACAAATGTTGAGTAAAAAATGAATGAAAATTTCTTTAAGTTGAACATGTTAAACAAATCAATAAAAATATGTTCTGAAAAATAACAAATCTCTCACAAATACATTTATTCAAGATTAAATTGCTTAAACAATGAGAGAAAAGTCTCTAAATAAAGTGTATATAAAGTCTGTTGTTCGACTTGTGATGAGAATTATCAAATAGATTGAAATGTATATTCTTCATGTTTTGTGATCTTTATGGCCGTTATTCATTGAAATCATCAGATATCATTTTGTTTCTCGAATCAATCTTCGTCGATCTGTGCCTATTGATGTTGGCTGTTGTGATTTGTCCTCGATTTTCATTCTTTTTTTATGTACTGAACAATAACTGTCATGAATCTTTTATTTTCGATTTCAAATTAATAGAAAACTCATGTTGATCTTCTCCGTAATCATCTGACGTTGTCAATCTTCAAATTGACGACATCGATCGAAAACTAGGAGAAATGGTTGTCATTTGACTTGATAATTAACAAAAGTGAATTTTACATCAGCAAATGTTTTTGACTCATCGTTAAATAACAATTATACTCCAAAAAGAATGGTTCATTTACTTTTGAGAATAATAAATAAATGCAATTCGAGCACAAAGAATGAGAAAAAAGATCTACGAAAGCATATCATAATTCGTAGAAATTCATTATTCAATGTTGTTTATAGTAACACATTTTTGAAATCCCTCGATTTCTTTTGAAAATTTTCATTGTAGCTTAGTTGTGAAGGAAAGACACTGATCATTAAATATGATCAAAACAGATTCAAGTTTGTTAATAATTGATAAAACGTATTCTTATTGCCAAAAATCATGTAACAAATCCAATACGGATCTGCCATTTTCTTCCAATTCATATAATCGGTTTCACAACAAGAACGACATCATGCTTTGCTATATCAGTGGAAAAAATACAAGTGTAATCACTTGCGTTGATGCATCTTATGCTATATACGTAGTACAAGCAGAATGCACGATCATATTCCAAATAACTCATTGCATTGGAGATGAATAAAAGCGCCACTAACGAATAGCCGCTCTTCCACAGCAGAAAACTCATTCACTCACTACTGAACACGGTCATCAGGCTTAACCACACCATAAGTTATCAGCATGAATGCTTACAATAAGTAAAAAAATCAACCTTTCAACTTACTACCTGAATATTCGATGGACCTTCTGATCTATGAATAAATCTGAACTCAAATTACTATAATTTCGCAATTTTTTAAGACCTAGTTTGATCTATAGAAATTCTGATAATATCCTCCAATACAGCTCGTCGAGTTCTACTTCGAACACGAATAGAACACCTGAAACATCTTCATCGGCGAATCGATAGTACTTTTACTTTATTGGGCTCCTAGTTTCTGTAGCGAAATACAAGTAATTTCCGATTTTTACAACTATAGTTTCGGCTATGGAACATCTGATTACAGCATTGAACAGAGCTCATCTAGTTGTACTTGGAACACAGATGGAAGATCTGGAACATATTCCTGAAGGAATCCTCGATAATTTTACTATATAAATTGTCATATTTAACCGATGTTTTCGCATTTTAGAACACATACTTAGAGCTATGGAAAATCTACTTATTCCAATCGATAGAGCTCATCGAGTTCTAATTTGGAACTCTCCGGAGCAGCTGGCGCAGCTTCCTACAAGAATATCGGCTGATTTTAGTAACCATTTGATAGGAGTCATATGCTAATAAATTAGTATTTTCGAATTTTTTCACAAATGGTTTCAGCTATGGAGAATCCAACGCTACCAATCGATAGAACTCATCGAGTTCTATTGTGGAACTGTCTGGAGCAGCTTCCTGGAAGAATGTTGGCTGGGTTTATTAACCATGTGGTAAGATTAGCATAGGAAAAAATTAGTATTTTCGAATTTTTTCACGAATCGTTCAAGCTATGGAAAATCGAAAGTTACCAATCGATAGAGCTCGTCGAGTTCTATTCTGGCGCTGTCTGGCGCAGCTGTGGCAACTTTGGCGCCGAATCTTGGCTGGACTTACTATCCAGATGCTAAAATTTGCATAGGAAAAAACTAGTATTTTGGGATTTTTTCGCGAATGATTCAAGCTATACAAAATCCGAAGTTACCAATCGATAGAGCTCGTCGAGTTGTATTCTGGCGCTGTCTGGCGCAGCTGTGGCGGGTTTAGCGCCGAATCTTGGCTGGATTAACTCGAATATGAGGCTAACTTCACCTACGTCCTAGTATCGAATGAAAAAAAAACACGGCACAGCTTCCAATAGATTATTGAGCTTTTACTCAGATTTTGAACAATCTATTGAAATGAAAATCATTAAAAACATGGCATCTGAAATAATTGATGCAACAAATAATAATAATAATAAACAACGAAATGATTTATATAAACTTCAATCAATTCTTGTAAAGTCCAACTATCCTACACATATCATTGGTAAAGATATTTAAAAAAAAACATGAAATCCATTAGAACTAAAACAAATAAAAATGAAAAACAGATAGAAAATGCCATAAAGAAGCAAAATGAAGTACAGCATTACAATTACTATTTGTAGATAGAATAGGGATAATAAAATGGAAAAAAGAACAATTAAAAGCTAAAATAGCTTTTTTCTATCCTCGTAAGTTTAAGTGATGAGTT